AGTCTCCTGCCTCAGCCTCCCGAGTAGCTGGGACCCCAGGTACCCACCATGCTGGCTATTTTTTGGTTGCAGCCGTCATTGTTTGGCTGCCCGAGCTGGATTTGAACCCGACACCTTAGGTGTATGTTAAGGTGACCAGATTTTAACATTGGTAAAGTGGGACACCATTGGGGGGGGTGTTCTTAATTAAAAATTTGATCTATATGGAGCAAGAAAAATTTTCATAGAATGCAAAAATAGTATTGTAATATATATTTTTAATTTCAACATAAGTACAATTTACAAATATAATACATTAAAAAAATTATCTATAGCAGCACCTGTGGCTCAAAGGAGTAGGGCGCTGTCCACCTGGGTGACCTTGCCCAGGAGGGGAGTAGGGAGTTTACATTAGCCTTTTCATTTCCAAATGAAGTTACATTAACCTCTTCATTCCTGAATAGAGTTACATTGACCTTTTCAGCAGCAGAAAACCATATATTCCCTTCCCTTTGTCCCTCCATTCCCTAGCTTGTCGTGCATTCTTTCCAAAAATCGGGACTTTTTAAAAATGCAGCAGGACGTGGGACAAATTGTTAAAAATTGGGACTGTCCAGCCAAAAGCGGTAAGTCTGGTCACCTTAGTGTATGTGGCTGGCGCCTTAGCCACTTGAGCCACAGGCACCGAGCCTTTATAGGACTTCTTGTTCTCAAACACGAAGCACTGATGAAGGTTCCCCATCTTTGTTTTTACTGTGTAACTTTTTTATCCGCTTGATGGAACTGCTGAATTTTCTGCTGTCCCAGTGTGCTTGCCTGTTTATGTTCCCAGCCATTTTCAACCAGTGTGCCGGAGCACACTGTGCTGTCAGAGGATCTTAGGGGTGCCATGAAAAATTTTAAAGGTCATTAATTAAATTACTTCTGAAAAACAGTCAAAGCACAATAAGTGCTTTGCTTATGTCTTTCTTTTTGCTTTTATTTTGTTGGTCAGCATAATTTAAGTATGCCATGTAACTGGCGCTATAGTTCAAGTATGCCAGGAGATTTTAAAAAGGTTGAAAAACACTGCTCTAACTCTACTTTAATTATGGAAGATTTGAATCCATTTTAGTGTCATGTAAGACCAGAGACACTTCTTGTATTTCTTTCTTACTATTTTTAGTTATTCCCATATGTTTGTTTTCTCATGTGTACTTTGAAACTGACAGAATCTATTTGAGATCAAATACAATATTTAGGTCACCTTAAATGTAAATTTTGTATATTATTGAGTGACATCATGATTTGAGTTTCAGACAGCAGCAAAAAAAAAGCAAGGCCTCCAGCAGTTTCTCCTTTGAAAATGTTGTAAGGTCACCTCCTGTCTCACTGTGAGTATATCAAATAATAATAATGATGATGATAATTAGTAATAATACTGTTAGCATTATTACCAGGACAGAGTCAAACTCTGTCCCCGTAGGTAAAGTATCATGGCATCACAACTCACAGCAACCTCAAACTCCTGAGTTTTTAGCAGTCCTTTCCTCAGCCTCCCAAGTAGCTGGCCTACATGTACCCACCACAAGGCCTGGCTAGTTGAGCCTGACCCCAAGAGTTTGAGGTCACTGTCAGCTAATGCTCATGCCACAGCAGTCTACCCTGGCTTGGTCTAAAAAAAAAAAAAAGAGAGAGATATCCATCAAACTTATAAGGTGTAACGAGATAATAACAATAACAATTTTGTAACTTTAACCAAATAATTTTATTTTCTCTGCATTTTTCTAATAAATACTTGCCTCTGACACTCCATCAATAATCCATTTTCATTTTGTTTTTCTCCCATACATGAATTGCTTCTTACTCAAACAAGCTCTTAAATGTTTTGTTGTGCCTCAGTATACATTTTAATTGGATAAAATAAAATACCTTAAAATAAGTTTTAAAAAAAATGTTCTGAGGGGCTCAGCAGGTGCCTCTCAGAAGATTTCCAAGTCCCAGCTGGGGACACATGGAGGATGTATGTGTGTTTCTTTCATCTCTCTGACTCAGACACTGGAAGATGTCTGTGGCTCAGGCTCTATGGAAAAACATTTCCAGAGCCCCCCTGAACCACAGCCTTGTGCCACCATGAAAGAAAAAGCAGAAGCCCCCCCAGGGTTTTACTGGCACCCACAGCCTGCCCTGTGCTGAGAAACTCAACCTCAGGTAAAACTAGGTGAGGTATTTTGTGTCCTCTAGCAGCCCTGCTGATGACCTGGGATGATCACCCCTCCCTGTCGCGTTGCGTGGTGGAATTGAGAATGAGTGATAGGCATGGGAAAGGGTTGGGGGAGGCATGACCCCAAGGTGAAAGTGATAATTGGGATTGTTTCCTTGAGTGCAGTATAGGGGCTGAGGTGTTCAATGTGAGCTGTAGTGTGTGTTGATAGGTCCTGAAATTTGTATTAATGGCTGGCAATAATAATTATTATTTTTACAAAGATAATTATTACAAGTTTATTTTTAATTATTTACAAATTATTACAAAATTGTAACATAACTATTACAAATTTAGTGTTATTTATAAATTTACCACAATTATAAATATATTAATATGAATACAAAATTGCATAAGTACAATCACCAGCTATCATTGCAATTGTTATAAAATCAACAAATAAAGATTCTCTATTACAAAAAATTATTGGTTTGACTGAAGATGACTAAGGAGAGTTTCCCAAGGGTGAGTGTTTCTAAAACTATGTCCAGGCTAGCAAGGCTTTCACACAGCAATCAGTCCCAAATGGTCAGGACAGCAGTGACAGCCTCCCTCATTTGTGGCTGTTTCCACCTTAGCATTAATGGACCAGGGACAGCTAAACACACACCCCCTTGCCCATCAGGTAGGGTGCCCCTTCCTAGTCAGCCCACCTTCAGCTTCCACAAGCGACAGCGCCCTCCCATCAGGACCCTCTTCCGCTTTCCTCCCCCACACATCAACCTCTTTTCCATCAGCTTAAGGATCTGCCAGAGGCAAGCAAGTGGTGTTGCCAGTGATGGTGGTGGTAGAGCCAGCTCTCTTGCAACACATGGGAAGATCTTTATAAACACTGCTTGTTCTCATTTGGCTGACCTGCAATTATCTCCTATTTCTAGGGCCCCCTTGAACCACAGACTTGTGCCACCATGGAAGAAAAAGCAGAAGTCCCCAGGGTTTCACTGGCACCCACAGACGTGAACAGCTTGGAAAGCAAATGGGGCACCCAGAATGAGACCTGTGGCCTCACGTCAACAGCCTCTTTATGTCTGTCTCTGACTCTCTCTCCCTTTGACCTATGATTTACCTACCATAAAAATTTGCCCTTTGAACAGTGTCAATTCAGTGTTTTTGTTTGTTTGTTTGTTTGTTTTTGGTGAATTCACAAAGCTGTGCAACCATCCCCCCCTATCTAATTCAGAACACTTCCCTTGCCTGAGAAAGAGACATCTCAACTGTACCAATTAAATGGTCAATTCACAGCTGGGCTTTCCCTATCCCATGGGAACATCCAATCAGCATTCTGCCTATAGAATCTGCCTATCTGGATATTTCACAGAAATAGGCTTATAAACCAGGTGGCCTTTTATAACTGGCTTCCTTCACTGAGTGAAATGTTTCCAGGCTCATCCATATGATTATGTATCAGTGCTCCATTTCTTTTTCTGGCTTCCTAAGTTTTTACCATGAGCTCTGAAAATAAAGTTAATGATCACTTGACTTTTCCAGTGCACCAAGTTCCTGTTTAAAAATTTTAAACTGGCTGGGCACCTGGGGATGCTCGCAGCTCTTGGCGCCCAGCCCAGCTTCTTTCAAAATGTCTACTGTTCATGAGATTCTGAGCAAACTCAGCTTGGAGGGTGACCACTCCACACCCGTAAGTGCATATTGGGTCAGTCAAAGCCTACACCAACTTTGATGCTGAGCGGGATGCTTTGAACACTGAGATGGCCATCAAGACCAAAGGTGTGGACGAGGTCACCACCATCAACATTTTGACCAACCGCAGCAATCCACAGAGACAGGACGTCACCTTCACCTACCAGAACAGGACCAAAAAGGAACTGGCATCAGCACTGAAGTCAGCCTTATCTGGCCACCTGGAGATGGTGATTTTGGGCCTCTTGAAGACACCTGCTCAGTATGCTGCTTCAGAGCTAAAAGCTTCCATGAAGGGGCTGGGAACTGACGAGGACTCCCTCATTGAGATCATCTGCTCCAGGACCAACCAGGAGCTACAGGAAATTAACAGAGTCTACAAGGAAATGTACAAGACTGACCTGGAGAAGGACATTGTTTCTGACACATCTGAAGACTCCCGCAAGCTGATGGTTGACCTTGCAAAGGGTAGAAGAGTAGAGGCTGGCTCAGTCATTGGTTATGAACTGATTGACCAAGATGCCCAGATCTCTATGATGCTGGAGTGAAGAGGAAAGGAACCGATGTTCCCAAGTGGATCAGCATCATGACGGAGCGGAGTGTGTGCCACCTCCAGAAAGTATTTGATAGGTATAAGAGCTACAGCCCTCACGACATGTTGGAGAGCACCAAGAAGGAGGTCAAGGGAGACTTGGAGAATGCGTTCCTGAACTTGGTCCAGCGCACTCAGAACAAGCCCCTGTACTTTGTTGATCGGCTGTATGATTCCATGAAGGAATCACGATAAGGTCCTAATTAGAATCGTGGTCTCCCACATTGAAGTGGACATGTTGAAAATTAGGTCTGTGTTCAGGAGAAAGTACGGCAAGTCCCTGTACTATTACATCCAGCAAGACATTAAGGGTGACTACCAGAAAGCGCTGCGGTACCTGTGCAGGGGAGGTGACTGAAGCCTGGCCCGGCACCAACGTCCAAGGACGCACTCCCTGTGCTTCCAGCTAACAGGCCTAGAAAACCAACTTGTGCCTAAAGCCCCGGTGGCATCCCTGTGAGGATGAAGTTAGCATTGCCACCAGCCTTCTTTTAGCTCCCTGAGCATCGCCTGGCTTTCTTGTCTAGTCTCTCCTTTAAGCCAAAGAAATGAACATTCCAAGGAGTAGGAAGTAAAGTCTGAGATGTGAAACACTCTGCCTCTTATGTCCTATGTCCTAAACAGATAAATAAACTGAATTTTTACTTAAAAAAAAAATTTTTTTTAAACTATGCCTAGCACTCTGGGAGGCTGAAACAGGTGGATTGCTTGAGCTCAGTAGTTCGAGACCAGCCTGAGCAAGAGCAAGTCCTCATCTATAAAAACTAGCCAGTCATTGTGGCAGGCGCCTGTAGTACCAGCTACTTGGGAAGCTGAGGCAAAGGATCACTGGAGCCCAAGGGTTTGAAGTTGCTATGAGCTATGATGCCATCATACTCTACCAAGATTGACAAAATGAGATTCTGTCTCAAAAATAAATAAATAAATACTATTTTAAATTGTAGTAAAAATAATCCCTACATAGGCACAAAATTCTAAAATACACAGCAAGATAAAGGCAGGGGGCAGTGGCTCACAGCTGTAATCCTAGCACTCTGGAAAGCAGAGGCCGGTGGATGGCCTGAGCTCACAGGTTCGAGACCAGCCTGAGCAAAAGTGAGACCTCATCTCTAAAAATAGCCAGGTATTGTGGCAGCTACTTGGGAGGCTGAAGCAACAGAATAACATGCCTGTAGTCCCAGCTACTCAGGAAGCTGAGGCAACAGAATATCTTAAGCCCAGGAGTTTGAGGTTGCTGCAAGCTATGACGCCAAAGCACTCTATTGAAGGCAACAAAGTGAGACTCTGTCTGAAAATAAATAAATTAAATACACTGCAACATGGATGGCCTTTGGGGTCATTATTCTGCGTCAAATCAGCTATTGCACACAAAAAAACCCTACACAGTTCCATGTTGGTGAGGTACCTACAGATTAGAAATGGAAATACAATGGTGGTTGCTAGAGGATGGTGGAGGGGAAAATAGAAAATTATTGGTTCCTTGT